CGTTAAAAGCACAATCCTGCAACTAAAATTACTAAATTACAATCGATAAATATAAGGAAGAGTTTTATTAAGAGTATTTTTATAATTTCAGTGTTAGAATTACAGTTTTAATATGTAGTCCTAACCTGAAAAACATATTTTTATATAAAGAAACCTTTTTTTTTTCTTTTTGAGAAAAAGGAAAGCATTGTTATTTATTCAGCCCTATGATCTTGGTTAGTATTACAAGAACCCGCGATAATACTAACCTAAGGGTAGAACGTGTGTACCTGTTGGTAATTTTACTTCTGTCCGTTCATCTTGCTGATTATGTTTTATTTGTTTATAAAAACACTATAACTACGATGTTACATGATATTATAAGATAAAACATGATGTATTATTATATAAGAAACTATTTTCATTCAAAAGTCCATTCACAATATTATATATATCTACTCGTTTAATATCACATTATATTCATTTAATATTACATTATTATTATAAACTTATAATTTTACATAATATTATATATATATTAATAAGATGAGGGACGACGATTGCTATCAACAAGGCAAGATAGCCTCGCAGTCAGCTACAATTTTGGGTAAGACCCATATTTTCCAACCTTTATTTATTTTTTTTAGATACAAATCTTTTTTCTTTTTTTTTTTGTATTTATTCGGGTATTAAGAGTTATCCTCAATTTCCAATCCGCTGAATATAGGTTGTACCTTTTATTTATTTATTTTTTTTTATGTTGCATAATAGAATAACCCTCCTACATCGTTTTTTTACTCACTCAACCTGCATGGTTAAAAGACGAACCCACTAGAAACTGATTATCTTTAGGCCTTGTAGGTCATTGTAGCACAAAGATAATACAAATTCAAACAAACTTAACGTAATACATACAGTTGATAGAGGACTTTCATACACAATTGACGCACATATATACCACACATGATTACTATTATTGATGACTTTCAAGAAGAGTGATTTTAAAGTTTGAGATTTATCATGGATTAGAAGGGCATTCAAAAAGAGATACTTGTATGATACCTCAGCGGAATCACACAACAAGCAATTTAAACTCAAATTCATACCTCTGCAATTCAGTACCTATCCTTTGTCTTCAACAGACCTTTTACTAGCATCTATAAAATTATAAACGGGTGCCTCAAAATTTCACCAGAATGCCACACCAATCTAAACCAGGGAGCTCTATGAACCTGGCTGGAATCTCATCAATTGACAGTTAGTAGCTTTTATTGATTGAGGAGCCCCCTGACTGCCACAACACAAAACTTTGTCTGCTCCCTCAGACAAAGTCAATCTTTTAATCTCAGCCACCATACCAGAATATCTCCTTCCAAAACTAGTTGGTATCTGCCATCCAGATGGTCC